GAGGCAGTGCCCAGGCTGCACACAGAAGAGGCAGTGCCCAGGCTGCACACAGAGGAGGCAGTGCCCAGGCTGCACACAGAGGAGGCAGTGCCCAGGCTGCACACAGAGGAGGCAGTGCCCAGGCTGCACACAGAGGAGGCAGTGCCCAGGCTGCACACAGAAGAGGCAGTGCCCAGGCTGCATTTACCGCACGCGTGTCCCGTCCTCACAGGGTCCTGGGAAGGAGACACGGGTGTGGCACACGAGATGGCATCTTTGTGCTCATGCCATCCTGGGCGCAAATAGGCGATGTGCTCTGTGGTTCTCTAGGCCTTTGCTTCCTCCCAGCGATCGAGTGGGTGCCTCATCCCTGTCCTGGAGAGCTCCACCCTAGAGAGGCCCAGCCGAGTTCACGGCCCACAGTACCACCTTACACTAGGTTGTCTGCACTTCACGGAAATGTGCTGAGGTATCCTTTGCCGAGGGACGGGCTGATGGTGTAATGGTCATGTCACTGGACTCCCACACAGTGGACCATGGTTTCAGTCCTGGACCCAGTGACTTAAAACTCATGTTGGGCATGTGTGCACATGTGCCTGAGATCCTGAGAGAAGAGGGGAAGGGATTGTGGTGTGGCCATACCACCTAGGGGGTGATTTCTTGTTTTCTGTCTCTCTGGTGAGTGCAAGTGCCCCATAACAAAAATGTCTCTAATATATACATATGTGTATGTGTGTGTGTGTATGACTGTGTTTGTGTATTTATATTTATATTTAAATTTATATTTACATACAACATATAACATGTATATATGTATATATATCCTTTGTCTATATAGATAGATACATTGTTTTATTTATTTATTTATTTTTTTTGGAGAGGTTTTTGCTATAGGGCACGTGCACTCACCAGAAAGACAGAGAGAGACAGAGAAACAGAAAGTGAGAAATCACTCCCCGGGGGGATGGCCATGCCACAATCCCTTCTCCTCCATTCTCCTCTCGAGATCTTGGGCACACAGGCCCATGCGCCCAGCATGAATTTAAGCCACTGGGTCTGGGACTCAAACCCCAGTTGACTACATGACTACATGAGAGTCCAGAGACAGAGCCATTACGCCAACTGCTGGTCCCTGCTTTTTTCTTTCTTTTTTTTAAGACATTGTTTTAGAGGATGATAGGTTTTGTGCTTAATTATCACTTTATAAGCTTTATGAGGATGGGGCCATTCTTCTTTATTTATTTGTTGAGAGAGAGAGAGAGAGAGAGAGAGAGACCGAGAGACCCCAACAGAGTCTCCACACCATGACCCACCCCAGTCTCAACCAACGTAAGTTATGGGCATGCATGCACACCCGTGATGCTCAAAGGGGTCCTGGGATGTGAACTCAGGACCTTTCCCATGTGAGTCTGGTTGCATTACCACTGTGCCACCACCTGGCCCCATAGATGATCCCTTCATCTGGCAAACTATTGCTTCATCTTCAGAGGAACAAACTAGGGATCATGAAGCTCAGGACTTTATCAAGACTTGTTTGTTTTGATTTTCATCAGTATACCAAGGCGATTTACCGAGAAGAAAACCTTGTCCACAATGATAGTGAACAAATTGGGTGGTCACATGCAAAACGCCCTCAAAGTAAATCTTGATCTTCCCCCACCCCACACAAAAATGAGCTTGAATGAGGTTAACAAACTAAATTTCAACACTACTAGAAGAGAACACAGAAAAAAATCTTAGTCAGTTGGGTTTGCAAAGATTTCCTTTTAAAATGTACGATTATCTATTTAATGAATAGATACAGAAATGAAAAGCTATCGGTCGATGATAAAATATACGGGAATATCTTTGACTTGACTAATATGTACTGTGTCCATCTGGGAGAAACCATGTACACTGATTAAATGTAAATAAAAATCAAAGTACGTGTACGAATACTTCACATGTAATCTTTGTACATCTTTGTGTACCGTATGGTTTTTCAGAGCGTACATGGACTTGCATGCAGTTGACTTAATGGCATTCCATGTACATCCTCTGCAGGTAACTTTGCATTCCTGTGGCTGTAAGAAGACTATTTAAGGAAATGCCTGACTCTCTTGCAAATCCTGGGGCTTGTGTCAATGAAGGGATTTAACTAAGTGGCTGTAATGTGTTTGTCATGGTGTCAATGTCAATGTGTGTACTAAATTTTGCCACAACTTGAAGGTGAATGGAGTGGTCCACAGATCTGTGCACTAGCCTCAACATCATCCCAAGGACATCCCTGAACATGGGGCAGACCCATGAGCACTCCCACTCTGGAGAGACCCCTCAGCCTGTGGAGTGGCCTCTCAGTCCCTCCTGCATAGTACAGAAAACACCACGTGATCTCTGGGGAGAGTCTTGCAGGTTCACCAGGAGTATTTGTGCGTTGGAGTCTCTGTGCACTGGGACTATGATTTAGGGGACGGTGTGAATTCAGGAAGACGTGAATCGTGGTGACACACAGACACACTAGCTTCTTTGACCTGGGGTTGTATGACTTGGGGGACAACATCTGAGGACAGAAATGATTTGGAAAAGCTGGAACCTCAGTAATGTGGCACAATTAGAAGGGATGAATGCCACCTTTTAAGTTGACAACTACATTTAAGGTAAAAATGAAGAACAAGTTGAGGATGCAGATTCATTGCAGTGTGC